CCGCTAATTGCGAGGCACTGATTCAATTACAAACGTCTAATTACCAACTTAATTACCTACCTAAAGTCGTCTATTGCTTTATCATTATATTTTTAATCATAGTTAGAAACATTAAAGTGTAAACAATTCAGAGATTTATATCGTAATATTAATGACAGATTAGGCCAGTGTATTAATTCGTTTGATGTTCGCAAATGTCGAAAGAAAGAAAAGAATGAATCGTTTATTTGTCAAAAATGCGTTTATATAAACTGAGTAGTCAGACATGCAAGATATTAAATAGTTTCTTGCCATGTTTTGCCAATAGTGGCGTACAAATTTAATAGATATACTATAAAAATTATATTCATTTTCATTAAAATCAGCAATTTGTACAATAATATCTAGTCATTATTAAATTTCATTACGTTGTGTTTTGTAAATGAAAATTGGGCTTTCCTTTTATTTTACAATTAAATTTAATTATTCAGGAAAACAAATGTATTGTAATGTAAGTTCTTAGGTGTGTACGTATTGTTTACGTGATATTACGTGTTGTTTATTTGTAGTAGAAAAATGAAAATAGTAAAAGGATGATTTTCCTTATAATTATAGACAGTACCTAAGTGGGTAGGTAGTGCGCAAATGAACTAATGAATCATATCTACTGTGGCAGGTAAATAATATTATTGTATTAATAACAAGGGAAGGAAATATATTAATTTAAATAAATAAATATGTTGATCATCAGGAATTTTCAAACTTACTCATTGTAAATTACATATTAAAGTATACCTACCTATGAATATTACTATTTTTATCATATTACAGGGAAATATTATTTGTAATACCTTTCCTTTACTCCTACAAACCTTTGTTTACCTGTGGTGTTAAATTGTAGACCATTATTAAAAATGTTTTTCCCTAAGTATCTTTTAAACTAGTTAAACAATAAAGTAGGTTCTTTGTAGTGGGTTTAAGTAGTTATTGAAAAACAATACCTAGGTTATGGAATTCGTAATTAGCTCCCATAACAGATTAAAGTAACAATAATGGTGACTTATATTTTATTAAATACAATCCCTAATTCCCTCATACTACCTACCTCAGTATCAATTCGAAAAGCTGGCTTTTTATTTTCGCAACTTCAAGGCGATAGTATAATAGGTGTTTCAGAGCCCTGTAATTTATATATAAGCATACACACAGTCGGACGTCCGGTCCGCATTTCCCCATAATATACTTCACCGGCTGGCAACTAGCCTTCAGAAAGAACCGCATTAATTTGCATACCTAATATACTTTTTTACCACCAATATATTACTTCTACGTTAAGCTCATGTTTAGTTTACGAGTGTGACGTCAAAATTATGAACGAGGCGTTTTGGCAGCAAACCCAATTGATACAGCGTGTCGTAACTCATAATCTTTACAGGCTGAAAGATAAACTTGGGCAAATATTTGTATGTAACAGCTGTCACTCGTTACGGTCTAGTGTTGAACAGAAAGAACCCAGGTGATGGACACCGTCCACGCTGCTCCGTAAACATAGGACCAACGCGTACCTCTATAGGCTTACCTAGTATGTATACTTATTAACGTTAGATATGTAAATATTGTTCTAAGAAAACTAATAAGGACCTTGGTTCGCATTATCATATGACAGGTGCGTTTTTGGGGTAATTTAAACTAAATGACAGCGACTATTAACATATTTTATATGCTATGAGAAGAATGTGCTGAGGGAGGTGCCAGCTTGATAATGTCACAGAGATCATTTGCCTAGTAATCTTTATATCTACTTACTTATCTAAATGAATTTAACAAGTTCATTGAAATGTTTGAAAACAATTCGACGAAACGTTTTTCGTGTCCGTTAGTCGACGCGACGCTATGCGGAAAATTTGTTTGAAATACTTTATAATTTTAGTGGTTAATGTAACATTCATGCAGATAACAATTATTTACACATTACTATAATGAATGGAGTCGGTGAGACTAGAGCGGCGTGATCCATTTCAAAAGCTTGATTCGCTACGGTGATCGTAGCCGTCGTTGACGAATTCACTCGTTGTTCGTCACAGTTGTTGAGTGACGAGTAGCTACTAGCTAGCAGTAGGTACAATAGTGCCACGGCCAATCAGCAGCCAGTAGCTGTCACCATCAGTTATACAACTAGAAGCACACATATGGTCATCATTCGTAGCATATGTTTTGCCGATTTGACGCTTTGTTTATTCATGTGACATAATTAATATGTCAATTTAAATAACTACGGCTTTTTATTTGACGACATGGCTATAAATGCTTGACTGATTGATTTGATTGAACAACGAGTTACAGCTTAGAGGATTAATTAAAGCTTCTAAGAAAGTGTGTGTGCCGCGTCTACTTTCCAACATTATTTTAATTTTTTCAGGTTCTAGTTAAAGAATCAACCAGATTTTTAATATTTAACTTGGTATGTAAAGGCAATATAACGTTGTACTTTATTCATTAGTATTCAGATAGTTCGTGTTCTCGATGTCTGCATAATGTTTAAATGCTAACTTCTTGTTCTATGAAATATCGGCTTAGACATACCTATGTCTATGTACGTACCTACGTTGACTATTTATAACCTATTTTAATTATATTTTCTAATTTAGAAGTTTAACAACATCTTTCCTTTTGGTAGATTCTCATACTTGCATTTAAATGTCATAAACTTATAATCTTCGTGGTACCTACCTATGTTTTTGCTTCATGATTAAAATACATAACAACCAGACTAATAGATAAAATAAAATCAACAAAATTCCTATAAAACTACTACTAAAGCAATTACTTGTTCTTTAATTCTTTTTTGTCGACACCCTTTTTTGTGTGTTTTGATCAGTCAGAGCTGCAATTTAAGTAATAAGCATTCGAATGCAGGAAAAACCACGTTGAAATGTTAGTTGGCTGTAGCGGACAGGTAGGTTAGGTATCATTAGTTAGTTAATTATCTACGTATGACTGAACAGATAAAAAAAAGCTATGGCTGAATGAGACGCAAGAATCATGAAAGTAGGAAAAACCCCAAAGCGATCGCATGATCGCCTTTGTCAATGGAATTAATTGAATCTGTGGAGTGAGATTGAACGGAAAAATTATCTATTGAATTAAACTGATTTCCGAACTAGAATTTGTTTAACCAGTCAGCTTTTATTTTGTGTAAATTCCAACAAATATCATCATATATGTTGTGGTTTTTAAACTTGTATAAAATCTTCGTTATTTATAGTAGACCTAAGCAGTTAAGTAAATAATCTTTGTCAGTTGAATGATACTTGACTACTTGAGAAAATAGCTGCACTTAATACGAATTAACTGACATCGTCATTATCCGCTACATAAATGATGGACAAGCTTTTAGAATTAGACTTGTTACGTAATATTGTCCACCCAGTCACAACTTGTTCACTCATTCAGTTTCCTGCTTCGCTTCCAACCGTGTCTGATCATTTAGCAAGTTTGGGGCTCAACTAGATATACAAAAACCTAGCAGCACCGTGATAACTATTCAATGTTGACATTCTTAATTTTATTGTCAATTACCTCACGATTTTCATGTCTCAATGTCAAATGGTTGAATGTTTTAAACCTGAAGACATTTTTCATAGTTACGTCATGTACCTATAATAACTTATATCGAACTCTGAAGCTGTGTGAAGCTAAACTAATAATGAATATATTGAATTTCTATAGGGAAAATAATCAAATTTATGACGTGGTTTCTATATCTTTATTGACGTATTTTTATTGTAGTCAATATACGCTGCAAGCTTATAATAACCGGATATTAATTTCCTCTATCCTCTATAATTGTGTTTAATTACTCTGTCACCTAGTCGTATACGCATTCTGTCTAGTCATGTCGAACTTGAGATCATGTTGTTATTGACACTCAAGTTGAGTTGGGTTTAGATACTTCTTATACAGTCAATTTTAGATAGTTTGGTAACTTGGTACCTATAATTAAACCTAATACTAAGACGAAAGCGCTAGACTATTGAATAACTGTACTAATTTAACCTGACTTCATTCGAAGGTTGCACTGTTTTTAAGTAGGTACATGACATATATTTTATCTTTAGGTAGGTTAAGTTCAGTACTTAATGAGTTGTGTAGATCTAGGTACTATAGTACAGAATCTTTATTGACATTATTCGAAGATACCTACCGACTAAAACTAGATACGTACACCTTAGGAAACTTTAAATTTTATCATCCAATATTTTACTGGAACTGAAATTAAAATGGAAGTATAATGAAACCGGTACTCAGATAGATAGGGACTGTTGTAAAATACTACGAACAATGAGAATTAACGTAAGGTACAGTTGTTATTCGTATCTTATCTTATCCAATTTATCAATTTGTGTTTGTACCTGCCATAAAATTACATCGTCAGAATCTACTTACTAAATTAAATTCCTTAACATAAAAACAACAGTTTAAGAAAGATTTGATTTGTATGTAGACTATTTTATTATTTCATTTATTATGTTTAGAACCTACGTACGTAAAGCATTAATGTAGTTAAATTTATTTCTCCCGACCAAGTCAAACTATAAGTTCAATGGATTATAGAAAATGATTAAAAAATCCTAACTAATACCTATAGCTAAGAAAACTAGGTCTTATTGTTTTAATTATTTATATGAAGTAGCATCCTACATGTTGCCAAATTTTTTTAAGAAGTAGGTTTAAATAGTATCAACACCGAGAAATTATAAGAACTATCATCAAATACGATAATTTGAATCGAAATTGGTTAAGATATCGTAGGTACTTGTATGAGTTATTGTCATCCTAGCTTATTTATAAATAGTTAGTCGGTACCTATATGTTTACAATAAAACTCCGAAAAACAGGAATATTTTACGTGTAACACAAGAAAATAAAATTATTTACAATACTATTCAATGGTTTGTCATTTTGTTTAAATATGTTTGTACTTAATTTTAATAAAAATAAATAATAAAATATCCACTCACCTAAATTCAGACGAAATGATCTTCCGTGAAAAAGTTTTCGCAGGCTTTCAACTCCCGGATTTTTTATTAAATAGAAACGATTCACCGCACTTATCTAAATAAATTTCAGAATTAAATTCTGGATAAGTGTAAAAACTTTAAATTGCAATCCGTATTTGTTGCGATGTCGTCTGCCGCAGCCGGCTGTCGCGCGTTTTTGATCTCGTTTGAACAAATGTTTTGAACCAGCCGCTTCTTGCCTTTCTTGAAAAGCGCGGTAAATAGTGAACACTAGCGACATCTGAATAACAGTTTTTAGTGACGCCATCTAGCGCTCAGTAGAATAAATAATTAAATTCACGAGAGGCTTAGTAGCGCCCCCTATTTCTGGAATTTCATAGCATGACTCACTAATGGCGTGGTTGTCGTTTGTCAACCAACTTGTAACAGACGCGTTGTAGGCTAGATTCCCCTATACTTATTATACTATTTGAGGCTAGGGCATGGCTACTTGTCTAGTGCAGATAATAATATATGAAAACAAAAAAAAAAAAAAACAAATGGGAACGGAATACGACAAAAATATTTAAAAGATATAATACGGACAAAGAGTATAGGGGACAATTCGGGTGATCTGTGGCCGAGAAAAAGGATAGGTATGGATTAGTGGTGGAGTATGCTTCATGTTTGGACCCCTAATTTGTGACGGTGGTGTAGAAAAAATAATCATGATCTTCGTATAGGTTTGTATATATATACCTCTATATTAAGGGGGGCAAACCGTCGAATGACTGCTCCCGTCTGGGTGAGACGGGAGGGAGTGTCACTCTTACTGACTAAAAACCACCCCGTTCCTTCTCCTTCACATCGAACCGGAGCCCCGGTAACCCGTTAGGTTCTCCGCGACTCGCATAGGTATATTGTGTTCACAAATACCAATGATTATTTTTTATAGGGAAAATAAAAAGGCAGGATTATTATATATTTATAACTTTTTTATTATTGTATACAATTCTTACTAGCATAATGCGTAATTGAACTTTTAAATACATTTAAAATTTTACCATCCTACTTAAATAAAAATGTAGTGATTGTCCTACAAATACATAAAGTACATTTTAAGATCATTAGAAGTAGAAGGTTTGCAACGGAATCGGTGCATTACATAATCATATTTAATACCTTACATTTTACAGTAGTGTCTATGAGAAAGTCTTTAACTAAATACAGTGGTGTTTAACACTAACTATATATAATTGACACATATGTGTCTTCTTATTATGATAAGCTATAGGTATAAAACAACAGTTATTGTGCACTTCACGTGTCTTCTCCAAAGTCACACCGAGTTGGTGCGGCCGACTTGTCCTTCTTGCTAGGAGATTCTTTACTAGTGCTGGGTTCAGCTGAAATAAATATAGTCTTATGAAATTGTAGTTTTTATTGTATTCATAATATTGTAAGAGTATGAAAGCATCATAGATTTGTGAAAGTATTGTGTGAATGTGTAACATGATGCTAACCTTCTCCGACTAGACTACTTTTGAGCGCTGAGGGATCTGTAGTAGGGATTTTGATTCCTTGTTTGAGAACCATAGTGCCATCCTGGAAGCAAACAAAAGAATTATAATTACATAATTATAGGAACCAGAGTGATAGAGCACAACCATATATTCTGCCAGGGATGGTCTAATATTATTCCTTAATTAATTACTTATACCATAGATTAAGAGTATTTTTTACCTTCATTTCGACTAGACCCTTTTTAGCCATCGCCTCGACTTCAGCTTTAGTCATCACAATCTTTTGTACTTTGACGACTTTCTTGCCGATCTGCATCTCGCATACTTCACCGCCACCCATAGCTGTATCAAACACAATATGTTCATGTTAATAATGTACTATGGGTTACGTTGTTGTAAAATAAAACGCTAAAAACAACACTTACGTCTCGCATTTACCGGTAACGGCATAGGTTTTACTCCAGGAGGTAATGCTCTGATAGGAATCTGTAAGTAATGATTTTTATTTATATTTATTTTCAAAACAGTGTTGAGATTAAAGTAATTTTATAAGACTACAAATCTAGTCTCAAAAGAAGTTGGTAAGAGAATAGTTGACTTACCTTTTTCAATGTCTGTCCGGTAGGTGATACCAAAGTACTTTGTGGCTTTGGATCTGGTGTCTTGCTGGTTTCCTGCAATATAAAATAGTAAAAAATTAAAAATGAATAAAATGACAAGTATTAACGTGTTATTCAGGATTAAAGGGTACTAACAAACGGGATTACATTATTAACCCTTTATCTCTAGGCTAGGCTGTATAGCATACTTGATAATTTTTAGAGATGATGTATTTCTATTGTCGCTATTACAAAAAAATCATTCTTGACAAAGTGTCGGGTAGTATGGCTCTTTACTCACGGGTTCTACTGGAGTCTTGGTGTCCCTCTCTTTCTCAGCCGTAGGCGCAGGTTCTGGCTCTAGTTCTGCCGCAGGTTTGGATTTGTCTTTTTCGCTGTCAGAACCCTCAGCCTCATCATCTTCAACTTCCTCTTTCCTTACTTTTGGAGGTCTAAATAAATAGTATAACAGCAATTTTAGACAAATGAAGTAATTTGAATATATGACAATTTAAAAAAATCTCAATTATTCTAAAAAAGTATGGTGTATGAGTACTTACACAGCATCCTTGCGTGGTCGACCACGTTTCCTAGGCGTGGGAGTGGCCGATATGGCTGTCTTCAGTGCCGCAGTCTTTATACTAGCTCTGCGGGCTTTAGACTTGGGCTGTAATATTATCATTTGATATTTATTCATAAGCAGAGCAGGTAAATTTATGACTACTTCATTTTGAATAGAGAACGGGATTTTAAACTGCAATCTCTATCCCACTTGCCATTATGACAATTATATAGTAAAAAATAGACAGTCAAGGTTACAAAAGTTATTCTTACATCAACAGGTTTCTCGACCTCTTTATATTCTTCATCATCAGCGTCATCTGAATCATCATTTTCGTCAGAATCTTGTGACCTGTAAGAATGTGCATTATAAATTGAATTGTGTTATTTTGAAATTACATTTTCAAGCTACAATAAAAAAAATATGTATATGTTAGATTTAGAGAAACCTAAATCACTATTTTATACAATAAACTATAATTTACCTGTCTCTAATCATCTTGGCGTAATCCTTAATTTTAGATGGTCTTGTAGACCGACGGATTCCTTCTTCTGAACTTGGTTTCTCGCCTCCATTTTTGACAACATTCTGAAAACGTAAGTAATTTTTAGTATGGAGTTTGGAGTTGTATGGAGTTACATTACCGTAACTGGTAAAAAGTATGTGCAAGACTTGCACTTTTGAGGATTAAAAGGCGTGATATGTATGTTTTTTTTTACGATACGTTTATAATATGTTTGTTTGATCACGCTAATCTCTGGACCTACTGTTTCGAATTTAATAAGTCTTTTTATGTTGGATAGTCCAATTATCGATGGAGTCTTAAAGGTTACAAAACAACATGCTGCAATCTAATAGAAATAGCTAATATCAAAAGACATACCTTCGGCGTTCCTTCTTTAGCTTCTTTCTTCTGTTTTACATCTTCCTCCTTTTGTTTTACGTCTTTTTCTTTAGCCTCCTTTTCTTTGACCTCCTTATCTTTAGCGAGCTTCTCCTTGGTATCTTTATCTTTAACCTCTTTTTCTTCTTTCGCGTTACCGTTATTTGCTTTATTTTCTTTAATTTCTTTCGGTTCCTTGTTCTCCTTGGTGAGGGCGCGCCGCTCGGGAATCTTCTTCTCTGGTACTGGGGATTTTGACACCACTTGCGTCTTGCGTTCATCAGTTGGGGTCCTGTAATTGACATGCCTTAAAATTATAAATGGTAGAAGTATAGTACCAAAATAAATTTTAAATTAATTATTAGTTTGATAGACTGTTCCATATTATTGCTCATGACTGTGAAATTAGTGGTTTTTAATGATAAAAATGAATAATTTATAATTTTCAAGTAACTGTACTATAACAAAGAAGATTAACTCACCTCACTTTAGGAGTTGAAGTATGTATTTGTGCTCGTCTATTTCTTAATGTGTCTATTGGTTTCGCTGGAGTCTTAACGGCTTCTTTAGGCGGGTGGGTCTGAAATTGAAGTGAAATAAATAATATAGGTTAAATGTTTTTCCACTAACAAGTTGTACCACTTTTGTTGGAGATTTTATTTATTTATTTTATTTTAACACTTTTTGTACAAATATTTATACAATGGCGGGCTTAATGCTAGGCGGCATTCTCTACCAGCCAATCACAGGGTGAGGCAGAGAAGTGTTACAGTAGGTTTTAAAAAAGTTTGTATCTGTTCAAAAACGAGTGTGTTAAATGAACATATATATATATAAAGGTACAGTACATAAACTACATATTAATATGAAACATAAATATAATATGTAAACAATTTTAAATATATATTTTATATACTTGTATATTATAAAGTTCCTAAGGAACCTGTTAACTAAGACTTGATTCTGTGAGTTTTTTCTGATGATGTTCAGTGAATTTAAATTTAAAGGCGAGATGGCGTAATTTTTACCCAACACAACAGCTATATACCAGAGAAATATCAATGTTGTTAATTAGTTGTGAATCTACTACACATTGTGTGTAATGTTGTTTGTAAGTTAAACTGTAAGAATATAGTTACCCTCTTTAATTCCTGCAAGTCCTTCTCCAACATTCTGAGTGACTTGTCGCTAGTACCAGCACCTGTGTTGCCATTTTCAGTTTTATTTACAGTCTTCTTCTCAGCAACTGTAACAGTATTTTTTTCTGTAACATTCAAATTTTTTTTATTAGTTCTAATTGCAGTAATGCAAGTCAGATGCTTATGTGTTATTTGTTTTATGTTCAGCGAATTCATTAAGTTATTAAACTAATCAGAATTTTTGATGCATAAATCCAAATATGTATTTGAAAAATTTAACTACAAGGACAACGAAATAAGAATACATTTTAGCAGGTCTTGGACTAACTGGCAATACTAATATTCAGTATATTCAGTAACTTGGTTTATATAAAACTCAATGATAACTCAGTTCGAAAAAGGTTGTCAGCAAAGGACATTGCTCTGCATCTATACATTGTTGGCCCTGGAGCCAAGAGTATCGGATAATTATGTATTGTATTCTCTATCATTTGTCTAGAAGATATTGTTTTTATAGCGGACTAGCTGGAGAA